CCCCCACCACTCCACCCGCCCAAATGGCGACTCAAACCACTGTCGTTTTTAAATCTCGTATTTTTTTCCCACATATTTAGTGAAGATGTCAGAACAGCTAATATCATTGCGTCTTATCCCAATGGTGTGGATTGCCTTGTCCTCAATCGAGAGTAGGTTCCATTTCTTTGTGCATATAAATTTAAAATCTCCCTTCAAAAAATACGGCTGAATTGACGCCCTTAAAAATTTACCCACTCATTAACTTCGCATTACCATTCGACTTACTTAAGGAGTTATTATCATTTATTTATTTATATCAAATGGCAGGCGTCTTGATGGTTATCATTAGCCCTTTAGTTGACTTCAGACTTCACAGAGGGGAAGGAACATCAAATTGAAAAAAAAAATTCGAGGGGGGGGGAACAGAAGAGTGTTTCAAAGATGTAAGAGACAAACACAAGGGTAGAACAAAGGTGAGGTGAGTACTGTAAAAATAGTCGAATATGATATACAGTGGGGTGATGGTAGTTTGAAGTCAGAAGTCAACTGCCAGTTAATAGACTTTTTTTGCCGTATGAATATACGTTGCCCGGGGTGCACCACGTGGAGGTAAGTCTATCGCACACCCCGGAGTTATTATCATAAAATGAGTTAAATATTGATTATCCAAAATAACATTTTCCCAATAAGAGAAAAAAGGTAAAATGACTGATTTACACTTTTCGTAAACTGCGAGAATAAAACGGTAGTAAAGGTGATTATATAAATAAAGTGTCAAGCCAAAACAAAAACGTTTGGCCTCAAAACTGTAAACAAATTTCTTTGGTGTAGAATGTGCAGGTTTTCAGTTCTAGGTAAGTGGTAACCAACTGGACTGTAGAGGCTAGGAATGATCTTTGTGCGCGTGGATCGTAAATTCACATACTTGGAATTGCTCCTATTATTACTTTATTAATTGCGCGTTCATTTGCTTTTATTTTTTCTGTTTGTTTTCTGACAGATCCTATGACCTATTAGGTGGTGATATCGGAGCGTTTGAAAGGCATTATCCAGATGAAAATCTCCTTAAACAACAAGCGTAATGAATTTATTAATTTATAATTAATTAATTGTTTTTTATAGCATATATTCTTTTCTCAGCGTTACTCTACATTCAAAATAAATTATATTACTATTAATTTATTGGTAAATGTTAAATTGCTTAATCAATATTATCCTTTTTTGTTAAATCTTTGTAAATCAATAATAATTATAAGTTTATTTCGATGCATAAATAATTAATAGGCTTTTGGTTGAGCTTGGCCATGTTTAATGGGAGGAATGTCATTGCTATCAAGATATCTGCGTGCTAGAACATTCTGGAAGTTCAGACTTGATATCGATCACATGGAAACCAAGTGCAGTCCTGCAAACCGAGGCCTTCCCAACTAATCAGCGATTAATATTCAATCAAATTTGCTTTGAATGCTTTCAATTACACATGGTGTGTTGCATTTAGCCACACTTGTAATAGGCGCCATTCACTTTACACTCTTATCGTGCGCTTCCTATTGCTGATGTAAATCAGTTAATTCTGGAACCGCATTCTTACTAGATTAATTTCCCAGAAGCTAGTCGTGTTGCTCTGCGCCTAATTGTACCACCTTTGCTCATTTTTGTGAGGTATCTCCTACAAAAATTATTATAGACAAGTAATCACTCAGTCGTTAATTATATTTCATTTTCATTACTCGATAAGAACTGCACTAATAAGTTCTTGCCTAAGTCCTAGTAATTCTACAATAGAAGTTCACTTAGCAGTAGACAATTACTATTAGCCTCTATCAGAGCCCTCAGCGATAAGTTTCTCCCAAAATTAGCATGACTGTGTCCAAGGTAGGAAGAACACAAGTGATATGGTATGATATGGAGAGCTGTGTGTATGCTGTAAATGTTGAGCAACTATGAATGCGACTAACACTAAGCTCAATGTTTGGGAGGCGATTCTGCAAGCAGTCTCACGCTTGTTCAACAAAAATAATCGATTGCATGTGCGCACTTTTCGGAATGTTCTGTCCCTCGTGATGATTTGTTAGCAATGTGCACTTCGGATGTTCCAAAATGTGCTCTTTTACACGATTCATAACTGATCGGAGAGCGAAAGAGCACGATGAGGCACACATTGGCCTGAAGTTTCAATTGAGACAAATTATTTAGCGATTTCGGAAAAAGTAATATTTGAACATAATTAAATTAACATTGGGCGAAAATTTAGTACTGTAAAAACTGTAGCTGTTCAAATTTCTGTTATATGGCTTAATCTATAATCAAATAATGTTAATAATATAGTATATAATATATATGATGATAATAATAAAATTTCCTATTTTTATTATTCATGGAGTTGATAGCAGAGACTTAATCAATGCCAGAAAGTTTTGGAGATAAGTCAAGAATCAAATCCCACATCGCATCTAGTCGTCAGGTTGGGTACATTTTAATTTCCATCCATTTTGTTTTAAACCACTCATTGTCACGTAGTCTTTCCATTAGCTAACGAATTGTCGACATTCCGCCAATGGCCTATTTGGCATCGTCCTTTCATCTTGCCCCGCGTTTCCAAAGTGTCGATGGACATGGAACGTCCACGCAAACTATTGCCATTGCCCAAGAAGGCTACGACACGATTTCCTGATAGAATTTTGCGTCCAAACCGGGATATATTTCTCACCTAACACCTGCTTCCTATCAGGATTGAGCTGCCTAAGCCATTTCCATTCGTGGACCCCTTACTCTTCATTTCAGTATTTGGGGGTTCAATAAGAGCGTTGCAAACATTTGTTAATTTTACGCAGATTTGCTCAGAGGTTAGGCCTACAGTACTTCAGCTGTGCAGCTAGATTTCTCAAAGTCCATATTCTGCTGGCATTTCAACAATGTTATCTTTGTTAATGATATTAGAGATAAAAAGAAAAATATCAATCATTGTACTAGTTGGATATTACCCCTTATTCTATCTAACCCTTCTTAATGCACTACATCTGCGTATTCTCGGATTTTCTATAGGGAGAAACTGCAGTTGCTTGAACTGAAGGAAACGAATCTGCAAGAATTCAAAGTTATTGGAACATTAGGTGTTGGTGGTTTCGGAAGAGTTGAACTAGTAAGCTAAATCTTACAACACTACTGAGCAACTATTCAGTAGCAACTGATTCACAACATTTATTTTAGGTTCAAATGCTCAAGGATCCCTCTCGAACCTACGCCCTCAAGAAATTGAAGAAGCATTACATTGTCCTAACAAAGCAAGAGGAACACGTAATGAATGAACGAGCTATCCTCATGTCCTGCAACTCAGAATTCATCGTTCGGTAAGACTGGTCAAATTAGCCTCAAAGTAAACCCCCTAAATAGAATTTTGATCCGTCCAATTCTTCTTCAGGTTATTTAAAACGTTTAAGGACCGAAAATACCTTTATCTACTTATGGAGGTATGTCTCGGTGGTGAATTGTGGACCCTACTCAGAAATCGGTAAATTCCATTAATTAAATTAATCGATATTTTATCTATCAAAATGGTTCTTCTAGGCTCTTCTTCTCCGAGTCGACAACACAATTTTACGTTGCGTGTGTGGTAGAAGGTCTGACGTATTTGCACTCCAGAGGCATTGTATATAGGGATCTTAAACCAGAGAATCTACTTCTTGATCAATATGGATACTGCAAAATGGTAAGTTTTTTTATACAACGCCATTCATTGAGAATGAGATGCCAAACATTTTATTGTCCCCAACAATGCTAGAAAAAATGATTTATAACGATATATCAAGGTTAGTTATTTTTTTAAATAACCGAAAACATGTTCTCTAATAATTCCAAAAATAAATTGTACCATTAAGGTTACCAATTAGAAATAAAGTATTTTTAAAACAAAAACAGGTATTTGAGTTCAGCTTGCGTCCAGACACAGACGGAAGAAACTATTTTGTAAATTTGGATCTTAGTAGACAACTTGTTAAACGCTATTTATGAGCAGCAAATTGCGTTTTTTTTGTAAGGCTAACGCATGTCAAACTCAAACACGTCAGACATTTCGAGGCTAACTTTTCTTTCATCAGGCCTTGAAATCCACTTCTGCGATTTATGGCCAAGAAACTGCAGTCTGTCGATGCACATTTTGGCTTAAAACATTTCAACCCGGATAAGAAGAGCTTGAATAATACGCCAACGTTGTTAGTGGAGACGAAAAGTTGATGGTTTACGATAGCGTTGGTGAAAAAAAAATAACAATCCTCATTTCCAGATATAATCCAATTACCTGGAGCATAAACAAAGAGAACAACGATTTCGAAAGAAATCACTAAATTCAAAAATGAAAAAATAAAATACAACTGAAAATTCACACCAGTGGTGGGAATTAGTTTGGAAATGATATCGAAATTGTATTATCCATATACATAATTTAAGAGAAATTTATTTAGTTATTTCAAATGGCAGACGTTATGATAGATATCATTAGCTTTTTAGCTGACTTCGGGCTTCACAGAAAGGAAGAGGACCACCAAAGTGAAAAAAAGTCAAGAGGGGGGACAGAATAATGATTCACAGACGTAAATGAGACAGATAGACAAAGGTAGAAAAAAGGTGAGGCGAGTACTGTGGAATTAGTCGAATATGAAATGCAGTGGGGTCTTGGTAGTTTGAAGTGAGAAGTCAACTACCGGTTAATAGACTTTTCTGCCGTATGAGTATACGTTGCCCAGGGTGTACCGCGTGGAGGTAAGTCTATCGCACACCCCATTTTAAAAGAAATAAGATGTTGATGCCGCCTTCAAAATGCTTTCTATTACTATTTGTAGTCCCCCCCCCCACCCCTAAATATATCCATTTTGTGGAACTATTTGTAAGAGTAGGATGTTCGATACGTCTTGTCAAGGAAAATTCGGCCTACCAATCCAAGGACCATGGCAGAATTCGCAGTCTGTATCAATAATTTTGACCATCCACGCATTCACAACCTTTCTCCTCTCACCGTTAGTCGAGAGGACAAATTCGTAAACTTGCTCAGATAAAATTCGTATATTTTTTTTCAATTTAGACTGATTTTGGATTTGCCAAGAGGATTGGGTTCGGTCGGAAGACGTGGACATTCTGTGGCACTCCCGAATACGTCGCTCCTGAGATTATATTGAATAAAGGTCACGACTTCTCTGCCGATACTTGGTCCCTGGGGATCCTCATATTCGAACTCATGAATGGAACGTAAGTAGAGCCCACTACCTTGCTGACATAGTGACGAATATTCAATAGTCATTAAATCAATCAATTAATCGATCAATGTTTGCATTGCATTTATTGGCTTTCTTAACTCTTAAAAAGGCCGCCATTTACATCAGAAGAACCAATGAAGACATATAATATAATTCTTCGTGGAATCGATGCAGTAGATTTCCCAAGGAAAATCACCCGCAATGCTCAAAATCTCATTAAGAAGTTGTGTAGGTAGGTCTAGTAAAAGTACACTTTTTTCTTCTAAAACTGGTTGGAATACAATCGCCTTAATGCAATCGTTCTTAATTTGTAGAGAGAATCCAACAGAACGATATGGCTATAGCAAGGGTGGACTACGAGAGATTCGCAAGCACGTCTGGTTTGAGGGGTTTGACTGGGAAGGTCTTCGACATCGCCAACTTGTGCCGGCCTATGTCCCACAGGTACGGTACTAATTTCACTCTCTTTTTCATCATGAACCAACTTAGTCAATTAGATTAGTTTGGCAAGTATTGCCATAAATTTATCCGCATATCCCATTGATCAACTGAATCAACTAATGCTTGTTGCCCCTTCGTGGTTGAAATATACGAAACTAATAACAAGTAGAACACCAAACTCGAAGTAGGAAATGATTTGGCTGAAAGTTGCCTTGTTAATCGGTATTCTTAATGGCCCAAATTAAAGACAGGCTACAGTGAAGTCAAGTTTACTTTGATTACAAGTACCTCTAGACGCCCCAAGTCTTTCACCACGAATATGGTGAAATGAGATGAACTTGAGATCGATGACAATCATCTTCCATCATTCGCAATCTTTTGCATTTCTTGGTTCTAATTTCACCCTTTTGAATATCTTAAAACCTTAATGCCTTTCCCTCATCTCTATGTTGCGTCTTAATAGAGTTCCATTTGGACCACTTCGTAGAAATCACGTGATGAATTTTTTGGCAGCTTGATACAACCTCCTAGAAAGCACACACAGATGTTGGTTCTGTAGCTTATTTTAATTGTGAGGAAGCTCAGGTTTACTTATGTTTTTTGGTAATTTGCTTGGAGAACATATCTGTTAGACAACTTCGCATCGGTAGGTCAAAACTGCCAGTCGAATGGACGACTGTTTCAATTTCAGTTGGCGTTTTGTTAATGAGTTCAGATTGAATGTGGCATTCAATTTGAAAAGACTGTTCCACATTCTCTTGAAAGCTTTGTTCATTTCTGTTTTTGATAGAGGGGAGGAATAGTAAAAGGGGAAGAAGTCGAGAGGGGAACAGAAGAGTGATTCTCAGAAATTAAAAAGACAGACATACACAAAGGCAGAGAAACGGAAAGATGTGAACTGTGGAGTGGTCGAAAGTGACATACAGTGGGGTCATGTTAGTTTGAAGTCGGAAGTCAACTGCCGGTTTATGGACATTTTTTACCCCATGGGTATACGTTGCCCAGGGTGCACTACGTGGAATATATATATATATATATATATATATATATACAATTATGTAAAATAGTAGAAAGCGAAGTACTAATCATTCTGGGTGGATGATTAAGTTTTAGTGCCGATTTAATTAGATAAAATAAAAGTTAAGTAAACCTGACTTTATGCACAAATCATTTTAGCCCATTAAATGAGCATAATTTCTGCTGAAAGGCGATTGCCAGTGATTGAAAGCGAGAGTCGCAAACACAACTTCTTGTGTACACCTCGCTCTTTATATACATTCATTTTATAAGATATGATTTCATGACAGAAAAAGAAATTTGGCCAATATTTGTCAATTAATATTTAATTGGTTTCAATCTTTCTCAGGTTTCCAGTTCAATAGACTCCAAGAACTTCGATTATTACCCGCCGGATCATGAAGAACCTCCTGATGACATTTCTGGTTGGGATAATGAATTCTAAGACCCCACTGTGTCCAATTACAACGAACTCCCAACCCCCCCCCCCACCGCCCCACCGCCCCACCCCACAAATCTCACATCTCTCCACTTTTATACAAAAATCTTTTTCCCTCTCATTGCCTTGATTTGGTTTCTATTTCCCTTCTCCCTTTTATAGTCGACCCGTAGCTATTAGACGTGGTTAACTTGGTATGAAATCCACTTGAAGAGCGCACACGTGGTGGTGATGACCTTGAAAGGGTGTGACACAAACATAAAAATACTGAAGCTAGTTGAATATAAAGGAAAAGCGTAATTTGTGGCTTTTGTTGCCGAGGAATTTCTGTTGGCTTAGTTCTCCCCAAGTTCGCCAAATATATTACCAAGGGAGTGAGAGAGAGGATGGCTCCATGGAATAAAATGGGCTGAAGAGCTGACATTAGCCACGTAAAAGCAATGATCGGCAATGCAAGGTTTAGACAACGCGATAACATCAATAAATGCCTTTTAATGCGTTGCATTTGAATGCTAAGATAGTGGTATTAGACTAATGGACAAGCTTGAACGACTTCTGATTCACGCACGGTACTTACCAACCACTCTTCAGAGTCTAAGAGAATTCAAACGAGCATGATTCAGGACTGGTGAGTCAATATTTTGTCTTTAGGGAACCCCCAACCCCTTAGCCCCCTAGACGATCTTGGGTCACACACTCTTCTTGAAAGCTTAACGGTTGGAGTGACAATTATATGAAGAAGTCTTTGGTCAATCGAATATGGCTTAGAGTGATTGCGGTTTTGAATTCTCTATCTACGCTTGAGCCATCTGAAGCCTCACAGTTCCCAGAGCACAGCTCATTTCACACGACAGAGCAAGTAATGATAGCGTCACGATCGTATCCTAACAACCTGAAATAAAGGCAAGAAATACACAATATATCACAATTCATCGTTAAATGCACTCTTCACAATTATGCACAAGGAAAAATCTCTGGGAGTCTTTATAAGGAGTGGGAGGGGAGGGGAGGGGGGCGGGGGTGGTAGGAGCAAATGAAGTATCTTTGATGAACAAAATAAAGGAAGCTGAGGTATTGTTTAATTCAAGAGTTCCCGTTCAATGGGGCCATTGCATGTTCCCCCACCACCACTGCGGCTATCACTACTAACCTCAGCAACACTGTTGTTCGCATTATCACATGCTGAGGAAGCCAGACAATAGGAGAATTCAGGCATCATGTAGAGCTTTGAAGGAAGTCTGTATAAGCTCTCGGGTGCAAGTGTAACCGGTCGTGTTTCTGGGCTAGAACTCAGGGTCTTCACTCCAGAGATTAGGCACAGGGATCGGTTTTCCACTACACCACCGCTATTTCTATCCAATCAATAGGAGGGGGGGGGGACATAATGTGTTAAGATAAGTAATATATTATGACTTGAAAAATATGGCAAACGCTAGCCTACCTTGGAATAGTTGAAATTTCGATCCCTGCAGTGTGGTTGTTGGGCTCAGCAGGCGTTGGTGTTTCCAGCAAAAAGGTGGAATTCCTTGGCTGATGATGATTCTCCAATACCCACTCTGGTTCATTCTTCGAAAGTTGCGTTCGATTGAGATGTGTACTTGCGGTAACAGGAACGAGTAGTGTAGGCTGTACATCATTCATATCACCATTCGCGTAGATCACACCTCTTCGGTTATCTATTTGAGGTGAGGTGAAGAGATCTTGTCCACACTGAAGATGTCGTCGAGTAGGTAGAGTTTGGTAGGTTTCGTGAATACACGTGGAAGGAAGAGTATGAAAATGTTGATGGGATGATTGGAATTGAGGAGGGCTGTAGAATTGGATGTAGTTTTGTTCTGGTTCATGTTGTAAGAAGGCGGCTGAAACAGACACTTCATCAACCTCATTCTGGGGCATTAGACGATTGGATTGGGCAGAGGGAAACGGTTTTGATCCATCATTCGGTTGACGTAGAGTGAGGAAATTTCCATTGGGAGTGCAGACTGCAAGATTTGGAGTTGAAGTGGAGGAGGTAGAGGTCTTAAGATGGAAGAGATAGTGATTTCGAGAAACCAGACAGCCACAAATCATTGAGAGGCAAAGCATAGCGCCTAAAGAGACCATTATGAGCAGCAATTGAACTCTGGGTTGGCAGAACACGTTGGTACAGATTTGGGTACCTTCACAATCAAGGGAAAAAATGTGGACTTTCTTAGTTATTCAAGGCAAAACCTCGCTGAGAATAAAAGCAAATTTTGAGGGCTCGCAAGTTGGTGAAACATCAAGCTATTCCTTCTCTGTGTGGGGAGCCGAAGTCAGCTTTAATGCAAATGAGTAAAATGGATACCCCATCAGTCATAAGTTTAGTATTTGACCCAGCGACTAGCAATATTACTTCAATTAAACAAATGCTATATTGTGGAACGCATGCACAATTGAATTAGTCCCACAGAAAAGAGGTTGCCATTTACTTTGAAATGCATCTTATCTGGATGAATTGTCTTCATGCTGATGGTATATCCACTAAGTTAGTTCTCTACCATATTTTAGTCAATTTAAGGTGGCTTATTGTGAACTTCTAAGTCACCCCAAGTCAGACTTAACTAATTGCCTCAATACCAACCCAGATCATTGATTTGCATCTGTAAGTACTACAATGGGTTGATTAATATGAGTAAGTATCTCACACGCCGTTCAAATCCATTTTTGAATCCAATTTGAAATTAGAAATAGAGCTTGATTGTTAAGATAAACCATTAGTAGATGAAAATATTAATGAGTTTTGAAGGCAGATCTAGTACCACTTTCAGAAATTATCGATTAATATTGACATCCAGCAGAGTTGTTGCCTGACCTAAATGAAGGCCCTCAGTCTGACAGGTTTCGGGTCAATTGAAGAAGAATTTATTTCAGATATCTGAGCAAAGAAGTGGCCTTCCAATGCTTCAGCATTAATTTTACTCACCGAGAGAATTCGATTCATCAGTTTCAAGAGGTGAGGGATTGAGTACCTCCAAAGTAACAGATCTAACGGCGAAGTGGATTTTGGGGGGCATGAAGGTCATTCGCTGGTGTTTTTCTTGATTTCCACTGCAATGGTAGGGCTGTAATGGCAAAGAGGTATTCTCTATGTTATAACTGTAATGCTAACTGTCCTTTAAATCACTTTACAAAAAGGTGAAATGAAATGCCAAGGTCGAACTGGATGGATTAATAAAACCGATCAATCCACTGAACGGAACATCCAATTAGAATTTCGGAGGGTGATGCAATATCTAGACATTTGCATTCAGTGCCTTTTTCTATGTTTCCTGCTTCCAAAAAATTAAAATAAATTGCATTTTTTTTGATGTACCCAGGGTAATAATAATGAAATACTTTTTATACAAAAAAGTAGATTCAAAAGATGAAGGTTGATTGTCAGTGGTTCAATCGAAAGTTTCATACTCTGGTATTCTAACGTCATAAGAATGTATTGCAAGCACATTTCCTGATGGTTTTGGGGTATTACTAGATGAACTTTCATCTATTAATACTAAGGCAATCAATTATCGTGTACTTGTAAAATGTCTAGTTGATGACTTCATTTATTAAAATATTAAAGAAATGAAATATGCATTAAAAAAGCTTTAAAAATAAATAAAGCAATAAAAATTTATTAGCCATACATACACACACACGCATATATATATATATATTTAAAATATGTGGGATTAAATGGTATGCACTACAAGGCGTTTTAAATCCTCTTGTTAATTAAAAAATCCGTAATTGCTTAGTTTTATATGATTGGCTGTTCGTTTCCTCTACGCCCATCATAGCCCCAATATGCTAAGATTAAGTTCACTCGTTTGTCACATTAAGGAACGAATTAATTGGCACACATATGAATTTAAAATTCAACACGATTAAAATTTTCATTCCATTGTTATATTCGTAACTATATCAAAGATGGAAACAGGTATGACCATAGATAAACACCTTGAATGACCTGAAATGTTGCGTGCAACTGTCAAATTTGATTTTGGTTGGAACACTTCCTCAATGAAAGTAGTCAAGATCTACATCAATGATAAGACGAATGGAATTGAAGGCTGATTCAGGCCAAAATCCTACCACTGATAAAACAAATTTCAAGCGCATTTCAGGAATCCAAAAGCGAAGCTAGTTGATTGTGATGAAAAAAAGATGAAATGTTTTACTTGAAAATTCGAGCATAAAAATGTGTGATTTTTACTTCAAAAAATAGGATGGAGGTGATTCAACTATCCACCTTATTTGATTCTAGTTATTAGTTTTTGATTCAAAATCCGCTTAATCTAGGGTAAATACGTATAGAGATAGGACCATTGAAAATCGTGTATTTCATCACGTGACTTCCTTAGTCATCCTAATGGGAAAATCCGATGTCTCAAATTGTGAACTGGCTTCTGTGAGTTCACAGGATCTGGCAATGGTGTTTACTTCGTAATATAACACCCACTAAAATGTAGAATATTGATCTGGTAAGGCACCTTAATTTCTCGCGATCCCAACGATTTAGGTTTGAAAATTGGAAGTTGAAAATGCCATTGTATTAAGATAAATAACCAATAGAGTTGATTTATCATTCTTTCCTCTTAGCCTAGTTAATCTTTCAGACTTTCCAATAAATTGTTCAATTTTGGTCTAAAATCGGCATTATCGATTTTACCTTCCTTTTCTGTTAGGCATTTGGCATGACTGGATTCTAGATAGGTTGCGTTTGAAATTAGACTTCCTACATCTATATTGACAACGAGGACAGAAATCCGTCAATTTCCTATGCCTGATGGTTCTGCGATTCGATTCCACTGAATATGCTCCTAATGCACCCTTCACGAATGGAAATTCGACATCACTTCTTGGACTCGCCGAAAGGAAGCAACGTTACGGAGGAGTAAGATCTTAAAAATTCTCCCACGAGACCCTCATATTGTCGTTTATCTTCATGGCAGTTTTTACCCGGAGCAGTTAGTCATGCCTTCTGCCGAATTAGTATTATTTCCATGCGTCCTGGCTTCGCAGTGGCATTCAAGCGCAATTTCTCACAATTTCTCAAGATTTGTAAAGTAGCGCTTTTCATCACACACGAAAATAACCCAGTGAGGATACCTTAGCACCATCGATCGAAGTGCAAGCAAAAAGTTTACGCAGTGTTTTTACTTCCCTTTCAAATATATCCGAGTGAACACTCTCTCCTTCGGTGATAAATGTGACAACCACTTAAAAAACAATAACGCGTTGAAGATGACATTGGCCATTGTTTGCAACCACAAACCACACATGTGGTGCACCCTGTGCAACGTATATTCATACGGCAAAAAGTCTATTAACTGGCAGTTGACTTCTCACTTCAAACTACCATCACCCCACTGTATGTCATTGTCGACTTCTTCCACAGTGCTCACCTCACCTTTTTCTACCTTAGTGTCTGTCTCTTTTGCATCTTTAAAACACTCTTCTGTTCACCCTCCCCTCTCGACTTTTTTTCGATTTAATGCTCCTCTCCCTCTGTGAAGCCTGAAGTCAACTAAAGGGCTAATGATAACTATCATAAAGCCTGCATTTGATATAAATAAATATTATTATCAGCAACTGAAATTTTTACAAGCACAACAACCACAATTTTGTGACAATAAAATAACATGCTCATTTCTCAATTAAATTGGAAAAAAATTTCATTATTGTTTAACTAAGAGAGAGATAATTCAGTGAACTTCATATCATGTTATATCTTCTTTTAATATATTATCAGAGTTCATGGTGTATTGAAATTTGGGAATAAAATTAGGTTATCAATAAAGGCCCAATTCACCAGTAATTATTACGGGTTGTTTACTCGATGTACAGTGGGCATAGATAGTTGAAAGATGACCTAACATCCCATGTTTCGACCTCAGTGATAACGGTGCCCAAGAAATAAACAAAATCTTTCACTGCAGAGTTCACAAGCGATCACATTCGGGCAATCTGTTGGTTTTAAATTTCCAGATTAAAACCCTGTTAACGCCAGCGCTTACCAGACTGCACCAAGCTCGATGAGCACAAAGTCGAAACGCACAGACAATTTTTACAAGACTAGAGGAGGCGTTGGAGTGGAAAACGGAGGAATCTACTTGAAATGTTCCATTCTGGTTGGAATTCTAAAACAAGGAAAACAGGATTGAGCAATGTCAGACAAAGTTACTTCAAACGATATCCCCAACATTTAAGAGTCGAAAGCTCTAAAATCTCGACAAACGCCCTCACCAATTTTCCAAACAACGGGCTAGACATAAGTCCTCATGTTTAATTTGTTCACATACCTCCACAATATAGGAGTGGCCTTACTGTCAGCCTGAATTCCTCTGGCAACTAACTATGATAAAGATTGAGCTTACTCAATCCATTTAAGTATTCTAGTTTCTCAAACTTTTATCTACAACCCTGGGCAACGTATGCTCATACGACAAAAAAGTCTATAAACCGGCAGTTGACTACTGACTTCAAACTACCATGACCCCACTGTATGTCATATTCGACCCCTTCCACAGTACTCATCTTACCTTTTTCTCTACCTCTTTTACATCTGTGAATTGCTCTTCTCTCCCCCACTCCTCGACTTTCTGCTACACTGATGAACCTTCCCTCTGTGAAGCCCGAAGTCAGCTAAATGGCAAATGATAGCTACCAAAAC